TGGAGCCCATCTCCCTGCCGAGCCCTGAGGCGCTCGCTCGAGCTCCTCACCGAAAGCCGGGCAGCCCCGAGGGGCGCAGACAAAAAGCAGCAGCGTGGCTTTGAGCACGGGCGGGCCGGGCATTGTGCAGCTTTCAGACGGGGGCTTCACGGGGCTGCGGGGACACAAAGACGTGTCTGCGCGCCTGGGCCCCGCCGCTGTGAGCTGCATCTTAATGCAAGAAAAATCAATTAAACAATCTTGCTAAACCCTCCCTCGCTTTAGGGCTGAGCCACTTCTGCTTTCTTACAGCTTTTAGCATCCCGAGGAATCCACTCCCCTGCTTTTCTTTCCGCTCCTCTTCAGTTTTATTTGGCTCGGAGCACGGACACGGGGTGTCTGCTCCCTCCGACTGCAGCGGGCTTCGAGGAGAGCTGTTGGCTTCTGAAAGCAAAAGGACTTTCACACATGGGTCCCTTCAGTAGCAGCAGTTGATAATGGGAAGATGTTTGGAGGTTCGTAAGCCTAAGGAGGAGATTCCCTATAAATTCAGAGGGAATAACAGCAGTTTTCTGCTTATTTTGTTAAAGCTTTCAGGAAAAGCATTCCCCATTAATGTGGATTTTCTGTTCAGTGTTTTCCTTCATGTTTCATTGGAGGAATTTTCTCAGCTGCAGTTTCTGCTTGGGAAGGACCTTCCTTTCAAGAAGTAGTTACTGACACGAGCTTTTCTATTCGTTTTCTGGCCTCCTTGGTGTAACTTAGGTGTAGACACAGGTGGACTGTGAAGCGAAGGGGCTCCTGCTGTCATCCCCCCCCAAAGTGCTTCTGGCTGAGGAGGAGGAGGAGAGAGGTCAGGGTGCGCTGTGACATTACTAAGGACAATTGCTGTCAGGGTGTCTAGACAGACCTGATAAGGATATTAAAGGCTCACAAAGGCGACCATTGTGGAGGGGTCAGGGAAGCGGGCAGACGCGTTGGGGTTTCTGTGTCTGTCAGGTATACAAGGGACGAAGTTGTCTGGGGGCCAGTGTACGTCTTTATCCTGGAGGGGAATCGCCCAGCGCTGTGCTTGGTTAAAGGGAAGTTGTGGGTTTGTAAAGCAGAGGTTTGGAGAAGGTTTGGGGCTGGCACTGCGGGGCTGCAGCTCAAACAGCCCGAGGTGTCTCCTTTGCGCTGCCAGGAAAAGTGTCTACAATGAAGCTCATCTTGAGGAGCTGTTTGATGCTCTTTAGGGAAGTGATGATGAATTCCTCCTATTAACGCTCTGGAGATCTTCCTAAAGAGGCTGCCTTGTATTTGAATACTCTCATTTGTAAACTACTTACTTCATTAACGCGCCACGTAAAGCAGCTGACGTTTTGAAGGCAGATTTGTGCAAAGGAGGTGTGATGAAACATCACTTAGCATCCATCTCTGGTAATGGGTGTCTGTGTGTGCCAGACACTAATCAATACAGCAAGCCTTTAATATCAGCCTTGCCCTGGGAGCCAGAGCAAGTGATTTATCACTGTTGTTGCTCATATCTGCTGGTCCGTGGAAGTCTTACTCTTGCCTTTGCTGCGTGTTTTAGTTGTCTTAAATCTTGTTACAGTGGCTGTGGTCCTTACAAGGGGGAAAGGTTTTCTTTACTCCGTGGAGAAACCACTCGTGCTGACAACTGCAGACAGAAAGGGTATTCAGATACCGCTCATGTTTAGATAGGGGAGCTAGAATGGTAACAGGCAGGTCCAAAAACCTCAGCCTGTCCTCTCCTTTCAACTGTCTTTAATTGTAAACCTCGGGAAACAGAAGACTCGAAGAGGAGCAAGCTCCAGTAGATTTAGCTGCTGTGCACTCCTGAGCCTGAAGTTCGCAAGTATCATCTCTGCGTGCAGGAAAATAAAGCCTAAGACTTGCATGGAGGAGCTGCTCTTGGCTCTGATCGCCGAATCCGAACCTGGAATGAAGGTGACTTGGTCATTCAAGAATACATGGGAGAGGCCTTTGATAGGTTGCTGGCTTCTGAGCTCGGGATCTCTGGGAACAAGCACCGGGTGTGGGAGCAGCAGGTGATGTTGCTGCTGTGCCTGCAGCCCCTTTGATGGAAGCACAAGGAATCGCTCCGTGTTCCCGGCGTGAGGAAGCTGGTGTTTCCAGCTGACGTGTGTTTAGGAGGAGAAGAGCAGCACCAGAGCTTCTGCTGTGTGTGAACTTGTAGCCTGGCACATGGGTGAGCTCAGCTGATGGGTTTCTTGAAGAACATGTGTTTTTCCAGAGGCGGTCCCCTTCCCTTGAGTCCTCTGAGGTTTGGGTTTGATGGCTCCAGAAGGTTCACTTCTGATGCAGTCCTGTTGTGGGCTTGACTGGTAACTCTGAAGTATCAAAGGAGCAAGTCCCAAACTCTTCCCACTGAGACTGGAGTGTGTTGAACCAGAGGCCAAAGAAGGGAGAAGTATCCAGGAGCTTAGTGTTGGGATCAAAGAGTCGGGTATAGTGCAGGGGAAAAAAGAGCTCTTTCCTCTTCCCTCTGGTTTTAAAGGTATTTAACTGACCCTTTAAAAGGTATAAAGGGAAATTGGCTAAGTTTATTGCCTGGATAGTTGGGATGTTTTCAAGCCGTGGCTTTGAAAAGTTAAAGTATGTGTATATATGTACACATATATATATATATGTATATGTATAAAAGTTAAGGTTATAGGGGGAGAAATAATTCACTGTGTTAGTTGAATTGCTACAATGGTAACAGCTCGTGTTGCAGAGTGAAGTACAATATATTAGGTGAATAGGCAAAACCAGCAGTGGAACAGGCTGTCTTGTATTCCAGATTCTGCCAAAAGGAAAGTGAGGAGTGTGCTGAGGAGGAGGTGCCAGTGATGCTTCGGTTTCTCATAGAGGAATGTTGTGTGGAGGCTGATAGGCACAGCCTGGGTCTCCTGTCACCTCACCTGGAAACAAATGGGAATTTGCTCTCCAGGTCATCAGACAGAGGAGAAATTAGACAATGAATATAATGCTCCCAATTCTACTTCTCCCTGCGTGTACCTAGTTCTTTCAGTGAGTGAATATGAGGATATACCTCCATAAATAATGGAGCCAACCTTTCTTTTAAATGTGGGTGTTGCTGATAACTGTCACCACTTAAATGTTGATCTCTTTGTTATACACACATCAGAGCAAACCAAACGGTCCTGTGGGTGAAGACTGTTCGTGCAGGTGCAGAGATGCCTTTGTTGTTCCCTGTTACGTTGAGGCTTTAACAGTGCTGTTTATGAGGTTATGCAGCCCGCAGTGTAAACTGGTGTTAGTCCTTCACAACACACTCACTCCTCCACTAAACCTTCCAGAAGTCTCTGCTGAGCTTGTGTCTGACCATCTTGGCTTTATTTCCCTTGTGTTTAGGAGCTGGAGAAGTTAGGGCTGCGAGATGATGTGGATCTGCACGTCTACGAGGTCCCGGTTGAATACCAGACAGTGCAAAGACTCATTCCTGCATTATGGAAAAAGCACAGTCCACAAGTGAGTGAGTAGAGGGAGGAGGAGTAAAGACACAGCAAATGGTTGAAATCTGTCCCGCTGACAGCCACGAGCAGAGGGTGAAGTCCTGTTTTCCACATGTGTTCAGGCGGGTGGTCCCTCACTAGATCTTCTCCTCTTTTGTCGTGAGAACATGGGAATTTGTAGGGTTTGAAAGCTCAGAACAGAGCATTCGATTAATGGGAGCAGTTGATGTGAAGAGGCCACTGCAAAGGGCTGTCGAGGCAGCCGTGTTGGGCTGGGCCACCAGCGGTCAAACGTGCCCACGTTCTTCTTAACCCTGGTTGAGTTTGGGCCAGGAAGGGGTGAAACAAGGAGAATTGTTCTGGACTGGACCCGTGAGCTCCTTGAAATGACTCGTTACTGTGATATTCATGCAGGAGCTCCTGCAGCAACCCCCAGTCTTCACCTGGCACCAGCGGGCTCTGGATCTTCCACCAGTTGTGTTTTGGCTGATCTAACTTGTTTCTTGCCTCTCGTAGCTGGTGGTTCATGTGGGTGTTTCGGGTATGGCTACGACCGTGACCCTGGAGAAGTGTGGCCACAATGTGGGTTATAAAGGCTTGGACAACTGCCGCTTCTGCCCAGGCTCTCAGTGCTGCGTGGAAGGAGGCCCTGAGTGCATCGATTCCATTATTGACATGGACACAGTTTGCAAGAGGGTCTCGGCTCTGGGGCTGGACGTCACGGTCACTATATCGAAGGATGCCGGCAGGTAGGGGATGCCAGTGAGCATGATACAGAGCTCATCCTCCCCTGCTCTTGTGAGACCTTCTGCAGTCCTGAGCCAGCTCTGGGGAACAGCACAAGAGGGACATGGAGCTGCTCTGAGGGCTGGAGCAGCTTTGCTCTGGAGCCAGGCTGAGAGAGCTGGGCTGGGGCAGCTGGAGAAGAGAAGGGGACACCTTAGAGCAGCTCCAGGGCCTAAAGGGGCTCCAGGAAACCTGGAGAGGGGCTTTGGACAAGGGCCTGTAGGGACAGGACAAGGGGAATGGCTTGAACCTGCCAGAGGGGAGATTGAGATGAGCTCTGAGGCAGAAGCTCTTCCCTGTGAGGGTGCTGAGGCGCTGGCACAGGGTGCCCAGAGAAGCTGTGGCTGCCCCATCCCTGGCAGTGTTCAAGGGCAGGTTGGACACAGGGGCTTGGAGCAACCTGCTCTAGTGGAAGGTGTCCCTGCCTGGGGCAGGGGTTGGAGCTGGAGGAGCTTTAAGCTCCCTTCAACCCAACCCACTCCATGATTCTGTATATGGTTCTGTCCTGCAGGTTTCTCCCTGGATTTGTCACTTGTTGCTAAATAAGCTCTCCCCTGTGTTTCAGGTACCTTTGTGACTTCACTTACTACACGTCCTTATACCAGAGTCGTGGGAGGTCGGCTTTTGTTCACGTGCCTCCGCTGGGAAAGCCCTACACTGCAGAGCAGCTGGGCCGGGCACTACAGGCTATAATAGAAGAAATGCTGGATGTTTTGGAGCATTCTGAAGACAAAATCAATTGTCAGCATGAACACTGAAAGTGGGCAGAAGTTATCCTAGTATTGCACTTCCAGAATCTTCCCTGCTACTGAAGTACCGGGGAAGCGGTCTGAAACGTACAGACCCCAGAATTGGAGACTTCAACAAGGCAAATTCCACTCCTAGCAATGGACCTTTTCTTTCTTTGTCTTTGTCAGATGTGTGCATTTCAGCCTAGGCAACAAAGGAGTCAGAATCTCTTCTTGGTAACACCTGCAACTGCTCATTCCTGAAGCGACTGAAGTGTGTGTGATGTGCCTCACGCAGAGCTTCTGGCAGCCGAGTGACAGCTACTGACCAGTGTAATCCAGTGTGGACGGAGGGTTTCTCATCCTGACTTGGTGCTCAGGTGCAGGGAATTGATAACCCAGTCTTCTAATGACTAGTTTTTAAGTTGAAAGGTTTGCTTTCATTGTGTTTTGGGTTTTTTTCCCCCCTCTTTGGCCCAAATGATAGGTGATGATATGAAGAGCTGGAATGGTGTGGGATTGTCTGTTGGACAGCAGCGCCTGGTGGAGACGAGGAATCTTGGGAATTGCTGAGATGGAAAAATACTTCAGGCACTGACTTCTTACCCCACATTGTCCAAATACTCACAGGGTCCTCTGTAATGTACTGGTTAACTGGTAGCTCCAGATAGAAGGGACGTGCTTTGGGTTCCTTCTGTTGCGGAGCAGGAGTTGGCTTTGTCTTTGTTTCTTGTGCACAAGGATGAGCCTAACTTGGCCTAATACTTCCAAATGTCTTTTTTTATTCCCTTCTCAATGCCACCCTCCCCACTCAAGTCAACATATACCTCCTGTACAAAACACCTTGTGTCATATGTGTGTGAAACAAACCATTCACGGTGAAATAGCTTTGCTAAAGGCCACTTTCTGCACAGGAGACCCTCACCCTACACTTGGTGCTAGCTGTTCTTTTGGAGGCGAAGGCTGAGTAATTGATAACTTCCGTAGTTACACATTTTCCTCCTTTTGAAAGCTTAGAAGAGTAATGTTTAACTTCAATTCAAAGTTGTCACCTTGATTTATTAGAGGCATGAATATGCAAACGTGCAGATTTGAAGATAGTCTGCCAAATCCCATCTCAGATGTTAAGCCTGCTGCCTGTAAACCAGAGGCAACTGGTTGAAAGCGAGGAATTTTGCTTCGGATGAGTTTTCCAGGCTGGTTCTTAACGTTTCCCTCCCAATGGGAGGGTACAAATTGCTGCTTCTTGCGTGAACTTTCCCAGGAATTCAGTGGGGAAGTGTACGTGAGGCTCTAAGGACTGGTTGATGCAGGTTTGCTGCCACATGACAAGGCTCCAGTGAAGGACGGATGATGGTACAGTGGGAACAGACACTAACTTGGTGATTGATGACCAGTAGGTCCCACTGAGGGGCCATTTAAATGAAGAGGTCTGATTTGATCCTGATACTTTTCCAAATATATATATATATACACACATATATATATACACACCCCAACATTTTGAATGCCATTATCTTAATTTTCTAATTAGGAATGATCCTGCTCTAGTATCTCTCAGTGAGAGCTGCCATTGACTTGCTGTTTTCCAGGAGAAGTCTAGCAACAAAGGGAATAGATACCACTTCTTGCCACCATGGAGAGAGGACCAAGGCTTCTGCAGTTGGAATAACTTTGCTATTGTGAAGATGTTTAATTCCCACTGTATTTACTGTGCAGGCTTTTCTGAGCAAAAAGAGTTTGCCTTCAAAGTCAAGATTCTCTTCTTGTATTCAGACCTGAGGTAGCACTTGTGGGGTGTCAGCAGGCAGGTTTCTGGCTAGTAATTTATTCTATTTAATGTTTTGCTGAAATATTGGTGGGTTTGACCTGGGTTTTGCCAGTAGTTGAGCTACTTTTCTCTTGTAGGTTTGTCCCTTTCTCTGGTAGGAAGCTCTGGCGTCGGTGTATCTTAGCTGCTGAGTGGTTGAAAGAGGAGGAATTCAGGTGCTCTGCTGAGTTCAGCAACTGGTTGAAGGGACTTTTAGGAATGCTATTTAATTTACCCGTAATGTAGCTAGAAATAAAATGGGAGTGGGAAAGAACAGTCGAGTGAGGTGAGACAGGAAAACCATGGAATCAAAGCGGCCACAGAAGGGCGGATTCCCATGGGAAGGTCTGTCATCCAGGCAGCCCTCACCAGGGGCAAGAGGGGTTGGAGCAGGTCACTGTGCTAGTGATAAAAGTCTCCAGGTGAGATGTGCCTTGTCTGTCCATGTCTTCTAAACGCTTGTGCTTCCTGGGAGCCTTGGGGATTCCCATGTGGATGAGGCTGAGGAGGAGGAGTGGCTCCAGACTCATCCATGGGAAGGCAGATAGCAGCGGCTGCGTGGGGAGGACAGCTTTCCACACTGCTGTGTTCAGCCTGTGCAGCTGGGCCTGTCCAGCACCTATAGACATTCCTCGTGGGTGCTCTCTGCTGCTCGAGGCTCAGTCCTGAGCCAGTGTCTGTGCCTGCTGTTTGTCTGAGGGTTGCAGTGCTTGGCCCACGTGGCGGTGTTAAAACCATCTCCTTTTTGGCCGTCCTTTGCTCGAAGCATCCCTTGGAGCTGTGTTGTCTCCTCAGGAGCTGTTTTGGTGACACTTCCATGTGAGCAGTTGCATAGGAAAAATAATTTATTTTATAATCTTTTGGGTTGTTTTTTTTTGAGCATTAGTCCTCGGAGATTGCATTTGTTAAAGGGTGTCTCGTGGTAGAGCAATCGTTTAGGGAAACTCTTACAAATGGCACGAAACTGATTTTATTTAACCTGACCTAAATTAAATACTTTTGGGTGGGGGTTTTTTTGTTGTTTTTGCCTTTTTATTGTGTTAGATTCGTGGATTCAGAATGCCTTCCCTAGGGATGCATATTTGCTTTGGAAATATGACATCGAACTGCTGCAGAGCTTCATAAAGCTGCTGGTTTGGGTAATTCTTCCTTATCTGCTGCTTCTTCCAGATCATCGATACGTAGACTTTGCACATTTGCACTGATGGGGAGAGCTGGTGCCAAGCCCAGAACACTGTGCTGGGGAGGAAGCGCAGGGAGCTCAGGTTTGCTGTTCATGGTGGTGCCTGCAACTTGCAAACACCCAAAGCTGGTAAAGCTTCAGAATCCTGTGAGTGCAGAGTTGTCTCTGGGGTAACGGAGAAACGGGGCTGAGAAGGTTTGTGTGGAAGAGAGAATTAGGGAGGTTCCACTGTTTCAGGTCTGCTGTCATTTGGTCTGCTTGCCAGCAGCTTGGAGTGGGAGCTGGCTGACGTGGTGGGGGAGTTTGGTGGTGCCAGTGTAATCGTTGCAGTTACTAAATGCTGTGGAGGGTTTTGAGGAACTCCAGGTACTCGTAAACTCCTTCGTCATTTGGTGACTCTGATGGTTGGGAGAGATTTCCTTGGGATGATCTACCTTATGTAAAACACAGCAAAGAGAAGCGGTGAGCTTGGAAGTTTCTTTGCCTTCAAGACTTATGGAGGATCTATATGGATTCCTTCCAACTTGAGATATTCTGTGGGACGGTTGAAGGTAAAGCCCCGTTTTCCTTCTTGGTTTGGGGCTTTGGGGCAGCTTTTGGGAAGGCTGTCAAAGTCTGTAAGATACGTAGAGCAGTTCACGTGTATCTGGAGCATTCCCCAACCTGATTGCTTCCTCCTAAATGGTAGTAGTGAGAAAGGATGCAAAGGTCATGAAGATGGTTAGAGGTGTTGAGTGTGGTTGTGACATGAGACTGCGGCCAAGAACTGCTGAGCTTCAGCAGCCCTTCCAGGAGGGGCCTGGCTGAGGGTGTTCCAACGTTTAAGACCATGAAAACCAGCAGGTTGCTCTGCTTTCAGCCCCGGGAGGAGGGGAAATCAGAGGCATCTAGAGGCAATTCGAGGTGAACGCTTCCGGGCTGACTCCTGGCAGAAGCTGAGGTGGTGTCATTGTAAAGCATCTCCTGACGCTGCCTCCAGCAGGAACCAGCCTCACTGAACCAGGGCTCTGCTCTCACGTGTCCCTTGGTCTCCGCAGGGTTTGTACCGCGTGTGCTGTGCTAAGTCAGGTAGGAAACTCTGAGGATTGACCTTCCTAGGCTGGCACACTTGGATGTAGCATTAAACCCCCCTGTGTCTCCCGCTGTTGTGCTGCTCGTGCAGGCAATACTTAACCTTTGAGTGCCTCAGTCACCTGGCAGAGGGGATTATTCCAGGCTACTGCCACACAGTTCCATGCCTGGAATAAAAGCCCAGGAGCTTCCAGGCCTCGCAGATGGGCAGCACAGGCTCCCAGTGGTGTTCTTTTTGTTAAGAAAAAGACTAAAGAAGTTATAACCCACTGAAGTTTCTTCTAATACTCCAGTAATCTTCATTTGATGGAGTGTGGATGCATTGACCCCACGTGTGGGCTTTCCTATGAAGTGTGTAAAAGGAACTGTGGTCGGAGGAGCTGCTTAAAGCCAGGAGACCCATGGAAAGGGGTTGATTGGGTCATTCCCCACAAGGGCCAGCGCTAGCCTGAAGCAGTGTTTCTGCTCAGTGTTATTTCATGGTTTAACCAGGGACTCGTGCATCTCTTTTAACTTCTGGTGTGTTTCTAACTCTAACCACCCATCGGATGCGGAGGCACGGAGCTGCTGGAAGAGCAAGTGGTGGTGGTTGCCAGCTGAAACCAGTGTGTTTCCACACAGGAGTGACACTCGTGGTGTTTGGGGGTTTTAATTGTGATTTTCAGGTTTCTTTCAAACTTCATCTGTTGGCTTGGATAAAGTAGCCCTCGTCCATGAGCAGACATCCTGACATAGGATTGGTTAGTTTTGCACCAGAAACCCTCATGTTTTGCAGTACAAA